AGAGGTTATCTAATTCACTGATTTGTCTGTTTTATTTTTGTTGATTTTATTTTTCTGCTTTATTTGATTTGTTCTGCTTTTATTTTGAACTTTTGCTTCCCCTTATACTGGGAATTGAACCTAAGCCCTTTACACTGAGCTACATTCCAAACTTAATTATTTATTTAGTATTTTGAGGCAGGTCTCCCTAAATTTCTAAACTTCTTAGGCTGAGCTCTAATTTGGAGTCTTCCTGCCAGCCTCCCAGGGTGCTAGCATCAAAGGTGACTGCCACTGTGCCCAGATATTTTTAACTTCTTAAATACAATGCTTAGCTCATTTAAAATGAGAATAGGACATACATTCTTTAAATTTATTTTCTTAGACCAGAAAGTTTTGATTCTTCTCTTTGACCCAAAAGTTATTGTATATTTAAGAATAGTAATCAAAACAAAATATTTATTCAAATTGGAGGCCATATTCTAGCTTTTAAAACAAAACTGAAAGCTTTATCAACTATTAGATAGTGTTACCTGTTAATGATTTCTTGTCTCCTGAGTGGGATGCAGATTCAGGGTGCCTTTTCTGTCCTAAACATTTTCCAGCTCTTTGGTAGAAATAAAAGCTGTCCAATTCTTTTTTATTTACATCACAATCAGAAGCACCAAATAAATCTGAACTAGAAGCAGATGGTAGTTCTCCCCAGAAAGTCCTTTTCATCTCATCATTTGAACGTTCACATGTGAAGCCTTCTAATTCATCTGCTCCATGTGTTTGCTGATTAGTGAATAAATTATCTCTCCGAGAGTACCACTCATCATTGGTGGTCTGCTTTGCTCCATATTTTAAGTTGAGTGAGTGATTCTGTTTTTCACATATGTTTTTCTTAAAGTTCCAATGAATAGGAGATAGGGAACCCTCTAGTGAAAAGACAGGTGTAGATAGTTGTTTATTTGTAGTTCTTTTCATTTCATGTGTTCCTCTTCTCTGGTAATTTATAAAACTTGGGCCAGTTCTTCTCTGAGTGTCAACTGGTGATATCATGGTTTCACAATTCATTTGCATTAGGCCCAAAGAAAAGACATCTGACTCTGAATCATTCTGGATTGGAAAAGAGTTACAAGCTGCTTTCTTTGATGTTCTATTAATTAGAAAAGGATTGTTCTGCACTAAGTTAGGGCTATAACAGGAGTCTTTCTGATAGTTGGTCTGACTGTAAGAAGTCATAGATGGTAAAATGCTCTGCATTTTTCTTAGTTCCACAAAAGAAGAGTTATAATTTGACATGGTATTTGTGTCTTCTTGTCCTATCTCTCCTAAGTCTGCAGGTACGTAATAGTCATTATGTTCTTGAATGACAGAGTCTGAAGAGCCACAAGCTGAACTCTGAGAAATGAAGGTACTAGCCTGATTCTGTTCCTCCCGAGGTGACAAAATTTGAGGTGATTTTGTTGTGGAGGAAGGACTAATCTTGAATAAGGAAGTGATACTACAAAAATGCTAAAAAATTTAAAATTTAATCAATATAACAATATGAACAACAGCCTAGTAAATATAAACAATGATGCTTATCTGTATAGAAAAAGGCATTGATCCATATTAAGAACACAAAATCATTAGGCTCCATTAAAGAAAAGCTTATTGTAACTTGTATCTATTTTGTAATGACTTATAATAAAATTTTTAAACTTTTTCAAGCACTGTCAAGTTCACAGCAAATGCAATAGTTTATAGTTACATTTGAACTGTATTTCCTTGGTATTTAAAAATATTACCCAAGAATGCTAACATTCTCTTTATTGCTATAATGGAGGATATCAGGCATTTTGGAAAAAGTACTTTAAATAAATGTGAGTATGATATATAATTTAATATTTATAGACATACTATTTCAAAATGACTTAAATTATGACAAACTATACTGAATTATCTGTATAAAAATTTTAAAATTTATGATATGATTGACAGGTAATAAGAACTCACCATGAAATTCAGTTCAAGTAAACTACATCCAAAACAAAGTTGGATATCTTTATTTTGAAACTCTTGTATTAAAAATACATACTCGGGGCTGGTGAGATGGCTCAGTGGTCTAAAGCACCTACTTAGAACAAGCTTAGCAAAGCACAGGTACCGCGGTTCAACCCCCCAGCACCACATGCCAGCCAGCCCCGCCCCCTGGTGGGCTGAGCTGGCCACACACACACACATAAATAAATAAAATTTAAATAAATAAATAAAATAAAAATACGTACTCAAATAGAAATGAGATAAACTTATTAATAATATTGAATTGAGATGACTAACCTTCAATACTTTTTCTGGAACTTCAGGCAAGAGTTCCTGAAGTTGACAGGAAGTTGCTAGTAACAGCTGATTCAAAGAAGGTCCTTTATTTAACATGAGCTGAGCCACCAGTGGGTTAATACATGGAAAATCAAGTAAGTACATTTCTTCCTAGAAAAGAATTTAAGAAATACTCAGCCAATGATTTTTTTTTGGGGGGGCCGGCTCAGTCCACCCTGGGGGCAAGGCTGGCGTGGCATGTGGTGTCAGGGATGGAACTGCGGTCCCTGCGTGCTTGCCTAAGCAGGTACTTTAGACTGCTGAGCTATCTGGCAGGCCCAGCCAATGATTTTTGAAAGTGGCCCATATTTTTTTCTATTCACTCCAGCAGATTTAAATGTTTATCATTATACCTAACACTCAATTTGGAACACATGGAAAAACTGTGCTATCAAAAAGGAAATTCAAGTATAAGCACTCATATTTGCTTCATAATTATCTAGTTTAAACCCAGGTGTAGTGGCCCACGCCTATAACTGCAGCACTCAAGAGGCTGAGGCAGAAAGATCATATTAAGTTCCAGGCCAGGATAGCCTACAAAGAAGTTCAAAGCTTGCCTGAACTACATAATGAGACCCTGTCCCCAATCAATCAATCAATCAATCAATCAATAAATCATACATTTAGAAAAACAAACCTTTGATGGGGAAATGTCAAGCCAGGATTTATCCAACCATTCATGAGGATCTCTCTTTGAGGTCATTAAATTGTGGTCAGCAATTTGTCGAATTAGCAAGGCAATCTCTTCTACTCCTGAGGCAATCATAAGCTAAAATAAAGTTCTCATATGTTAGATTATAGAAAATATTAGGAAGCAAAATGTAACATTCAAAATAGTTTTTAATTAAAAGAGAAAATTTTAGAACAGTGGATTCTTATCAGTAGCATTATTTTGGACATACGTTCGTAATGTACCTACTGAAATCCAAGATATTTTATTTGTGAAGCTAACCAATTTTTTTCCTTTAAATATGATATCTGGGTATTTTCCAATTTTTAAACTATTTTTTTCTACTTTTACTTAGCATCTGTTAATACAGTCCTTATATTTTTTGATATTATATTTTGTCTATGTTAAAAGACGTATTAATTTGAACATGAAGAGTAATACTTGATATTTTGAGTTTTCTAGGTTAAACATAATAGTTATCAGCTAAAAATAAGAATTCAAAGGTACAGTATTTTTCTAAGACAATATTGAAAATAGAAGATACTTGTAAATGAATTTATGAATGAATTTGATGGTATACTACAAACAACAAAGAGGTTCTGATTTAGAGTTTTCATTCCCAGTATTCCAGCAACTGTTAATGTCATGTTAGCCTATTTGATTCTGATACTCTTGCTGAAGCACTTTGTGTGTACTAAACTTTAAAAAAGAATTTCTTATTATTCTTTACTACCTGTCTATCACTTCCTCTGTGCCCTACTTTCTTCAGAAATGTCAACTTTTTTCTGCTTTCATTTATATCTTTGTTTTCCTTACATTTTAGATTTAACTGAAGCTATGACAGTTTACAGATTAGCAGTTTAATGGGTACAGAAAATATCATTCTAAATAATGATATCTTAGAAATATGAAAATTTTGCCCTGTTTAAAAATTTAAAGATCAGTACAGGGTCTGGGGCAATAGCTCAGTAGTAGAGAGCTTGCCTAGTGTGCGCAAAGGAGTTTAATCACTAACACTGCAAACAAACACACTATCACAAAATAATTGCGACCAGCTTTTTTAAAAAATGTGTTTAATACAGGGTCTCACTATGTAGATCATACTTGTAGTGATTCTCCTATTTTTCAGCCTCCCAAGCACTAAGATTACAGGAGGGTGCCACCACGCCCAGTCTCAATTGCTATCTCAGTGCGCCCTGGGGCCGAGGCTGGCACAGCACACTGAGGATCAAACCCTGGCCATTGTACTCTATCTAAGCAGGCATTTTAGTCCTCTGAGATATGTGGCTGTCCCTGAGCTATCTGGACTGCCCTCACCTTTTTCAACAAACACAAAACTGTTACTACACACAGGGTGTATATGTATTTAAAAAAAGATTTCAAAAATTGTACAAAGTATATAAAGTACACAAGAATATACTGTTCAAACCCAAACCTATTTAGTTGTTAGTTTTGGTATTTTGAGAAAATATGACACTGTCACTTACTTTTTAAATTTACTTTACTTTTTTTTTTTTTTTTGTGAGACAGGGTCTTACTATATAGCTCAGGTTGGCCTTGAACTTGCTATGTAGCGTAGGCTGGCCTTAAACTCATGGTAATCCTCCTACCTCAGCCTCCTGAGTTCTGGGATTATGTGCATGTGCCACCAAGCCCAGCTTGATATTTTCATTTAAATATAAACTCAATTTTTAAAAGCACGATAGTAGTAATGAATGAAACTTTGTTTATTAGGGCAGAAATTTTGGGGCTCATGACTGGATTCAAGAACCTTCTTAGGCTAGGGAGATAACTTTGTAGTTTAAGCACCTGCCTGGCAAGTGCAAGGACCTGTGTTCGATTTCTGATACTACATGCTGTGTTGGCCCTGGAACCAGGCATAGTGGTGCACACCTGTAATTCAGTGCTGGGGAGGCTGAGACAGGAGGATCACTATGAGTCTGAGATGTGCAGTGAGACCATGTACCAAACAAATAAATAAGGAAGGATTTTTTTTTTTTTTTGCCTGCTCAAGATGCCTCAAGGGCAGGTCTGGTAAGCCTTGAGGATCTGATGATTGAACCACAGAATTCTGAGCCTGACTGCTTTGCTTAAGCAGGCACTTAAACAACTGATAATGGGCAGGCTCCCCCATAAATAAATAAATAAACAAATAAATTTAATAAATTAAGAATAAATCTCTTAAATTGTTTTCTAAGGTTTTCATGTATGTATTTATCTTTTGTACAAAGAGAGTTCATAAAAAATTTACAGAAAAGCTAGAATGACACCACTAGCATTATTTTCTTTTTACTTATGAAACTTCCTGATACCACTTTTATGGTTAGGCTCTTTAGAGGCCTGAAAATAAAAAGGTGCTAATAATTAATACTGATGTGCTCTAAGAGAGCTATGTTACTAAGTGAAGTATGATAAAGCATCAATATGTTCTAAAAGGTGAGTCTAAGGAACTTCTTTTAATGTAATAATACCAGCAAGTCAGTATGTGAGAGGCTGGTGAATATTAGTAGCAACTGACAATAGTAAGGGCAAACTGACCATAAGTACTTCTCAAAGACAATGGAAAAATCTTACCTGCTTTTTGAACTATTATACAGAACCAGAAAAGCATTTGGAATAGTCTGTTCCAGGTGGAAGCAGGTTCTTTTCTGTGGGATGGACTCTGCCTGGGGAGTCCATTCATTCCACCCCCAATATTCCCTGGGCACATGCCCTCTCTGGACCCTTCGCCCTCTCTGGGCCATGTCCTTGTGCCTGAACACAGGACCACTTAATGATATCAAATGTCCTGGGTACAGAAGAACAAAATAATTTCTAAAGCATAGTTACTGTTTACCGTGCACTAAGGACAGGGTAACTAAGTGGTGAAACCTCATTTGAATGAATAAATGAGATGAATCTGCACCTGTTATTCATTTACTCCACTTTTCTAGCAATTTTGTTTCAGTGTTTAGTATGCATCATGGGACCAAAATTGTCTGGAATTCGGTTTCAAGTAGATCATTTGCTGATTTCTTAACAGACTGTGTTGTGATTTAAATTTATTTAGAAGATGTTTGTTACATATGTTTGCTTTGTACAAAGCACTGTGCTAGGTGCCATGGCTTTTACAAAGAAAAAGGAGCTTGTTCTTACCTTTCAGAGAGAAGGATATATGAATAAATAAAATACCTCATACTATAACGAAGGTGTGAAGTGTTACTGGGAGAAAGGATTTCTCCTGAAAGGGTATAACAGGATAAATTTCTTTAAGGGTGTAATGTTCAAGCTGGATGGTGAAAGAACTGTGACACTGACTATACCTGTGACACAACAGGGAACAGTATTCTAGGGGAAGTCAGGCCAGAATGACATGGTTGTGCAGTGGCTGGGGGTGATAGTGTGGGGCATATGCAGGAAACAGAGACTAAAATTTTGTTAAAGGAAGGATTACTAGGTCCAAATTGTGGAGAAGTTTGAATTCAGCTGTGGTAGGTTTTTGAATAAGAAAACTCAACTCCACAGCACATGCTCAGGAGTCTCCTACATTGGGCTAGGTACCAGGAATTTTAAAAAATGATTTTTTCCCCATACTCAGCTTACAGCTGAAGGAGTAAAACTTTTGCAGATGTGTTGCAGAAATATAATTGGTGTCTACAGCTGATGGATGCAGAAGACTATGGAAAGAAGTATTAGTTAGGGAGGCACTGTACTTTAAAAATCTAAATGAGAGATGAAGAAGGCCTGGATTTAGGGACACAGTAAGAGGAGAAGGAAGGTATGTTATAGAGACTCTGCAGAGTAAAAAAAAAAAAAAAAAAAAAGACGACTCAGCTACTGATCAGACTAGAACAGTGATGCCACAGACTAAGCCTAGACAATGATGAGAAGCTGTGTTTTGAATATTCAGAGTCTGAGGTGTTTTTTGGATATTCATGTGGCAATTTCCCATAAATTGCAGATCTTTAAAAATGTCAAAAATTTAAGAATTGTACTCAAAACAGAAACCTATCTCTATAGGAATGTTTGAGTTCTTAAAGGAAAGTAAGGATGTTACACTCTGAACTTGGAAAAATGTATAAATTTCAGAGTAGGACACTGAAAAAAGAATGAAGAAAGCATACTACTTAAGGATCAGAAATATATTACCCTATTCACAAGTCATAAGATTTCTATTACATAGCAGATAGAAATAGTACATCTTTCATAAGAAGCTTTTTTAATCAAGAGATACTTATTTTTCTTCATATCCTGTTCTGCTTAAAATCTAAATAGAAATGCAGAGAAAAAATGTGATTTAAAATTCACTAAGCTAAAAGATTTTAAAGCAGACATTTATGTGGTAAGAATATGTATTAATTTGAAGCTATCCATTCTTCTTTGGCTTTTAAGCAGTTTTTAATTTGCCCATTTAATGTTTCTTGTCATTGACCACTTGAGTTTGAGTGAGCTTTTGGTTTATCAGAGTATTTATGGACATTCATAAAGGAAACAATACCTTTACATCCAGTTCTTCGGATTTAAGACCAGAGGAGCCAAGAGCTGCATATATCAGCGCTAGGTGATGAAGTGTCCTCTCCGTAAGAGGGTACCTAGGAAAAATCACATGATTGTAATGCTATTCATCTGATCTCTGACTGTACTGATTAAAATTTTGTTCTCTGCATTTCATCCTGTTAGCAGAGTAACCTGTTTAAGACAAGACAGCATGGCAGCTCATGTTGCTTTTTGTCTACTCTGCAATTTTTTTTTTTTTACATAAAAATCCAACTTTATTGAACATAGGAATAATGGACTTTCAAATGAATTATTTTTACTTTATGGTTATTAAAGTTATCTGATCCATGGTAGAACTTACTAACTGGCCTTATATAAAGATGCTTGTCTATTACTTCAATTCTATATTCATAAACAAATATATTTAAATCTAGATAGAAACATTTGTGACTGGATTAGTGCATGGTAGTCCCTGCTCTTTGCACTGCTCAAGCTGACAATAGGCGACCATCTACTCTACAGTAAATTTGAAGCACAAGCACAAATTTGAATTTTATACAAAAATTCAGTTTTACTCTTATTCTTACATTAGTGGGAGCTGATATCTGTAACTTACAGGCAAGCATATACTTCTGTTTTCTACCTCCTAGATGAACAAAAATATACACAATATATTGCTTTCCTTAGGTAAGACTTGCTTTTTATATTTCAATGAGAATACCATGTAACCCTTACATAAACAAAATGAGCAGGATACTAATGAAACCATCTTTGGCAGAAGTTCTTAATATGCATCTTAAATAAATCCTCTAGTAAGAAATGGAGAATTCACTGCCTTTAGTTTGAAGGCTTTGTAGCTTTCTGTCAAATTTCTATGTGCAGTTCACCAACATTCCCTTATTGGAAATACCAGAAATTTCTGAATCATAGTTTTCAAAAGGACTTTAAAGTCTTAAAATTCTGAATCTCCTTTGACTTCTCTCTTGATTCCACCCAAGATTTGTTAATGGTTCGCTTTATATCATCATCTCCATCTTCATAAATTTTCTTTAAAACATTCATTAATCCCTCACTAGGATCTGTCTCGGCATCGTAGGATGGTTTTTCTTTTTCTTTGCACTCTTTCTCAACCTGAGTTAAGTATTCCCACCGAGTGTTCTCTGCTTTCTTTCTACACAAGATAAGAACTGTATCAGTCTTGACTTTTTTTGAACT